GCATTATTCCAAAGTAGGGAATGTTTATGGTAGTGAGATGTTACTCTTCTTTGTTATTATATTTTACATTCCTCCTTCTACATATTCTATATAGCTGTGTAATTACCTGTTTATAAACTTTTCTCCTCCATTTGATTGTTAATTATTTAAGGTTAAGTCCTATGTAGCTTATTTATTTTTGTATTTCCAGCATCTAATAAACTCTCCATTGCTCCTCATTTCTTTTTGTTGATCTGGGATTCCATCTAATATCATTTCCCTTCAGCCTGAAAAAACTTCTTTTACACTTTTTGTAGTACAGGTCTCCTGGAAATAGATTCTCTTTGCTTTTGTCTGTCTGAAAGTGTCTTTATTTTGCTTCCACTTATATAGGGTATTTTCACTGGATATAGAATTCTAGGATGACAGTATCTGGAAGTGTTTTTCGTTTGCTTCCATTTATAAAAGCTATTGTTATTGGATATAGAATCCCAGGATGACAGTACAGTTGATTCTTGAACAACACAGGTTTGAACTACACAGGTATACTTATATGGAGATGTTTTTCAAAAAATTGATTGGAAAAATTTTTGGAGATTTGTGACAATTAAAAAAAAAACTCACAAACCACATAACCTGGAAATAGTGAAAAAATTAAGAAAAAGGTATGTAATTAATGCATAAAATATGTGTATATACTAGTTTATTTTATCATTTGCTACTATAACATACACATAAATCTATTCTAAAAAGATAAAATTTGTCAAAACTTTCACAGACTGAGATGTTACCATTCACAGTTATAGAATGTAAGCAAACATAAAGATGCAATGTTAAAATATAACTATGTAAAATTAACTATAGTGTACACTTTACTACTGTAATAATTTCATAGTCACCTGCTGTTGCTATTGCAGTGTGCTCAAATGTTGCCAGTATCCATTTTTTTTTTTTTTTTTTTTTTTGAGACAGAGTCTCTGTTGCCTGGGCTAGAGTGCCATGGCGTCAGCCTAGCTCACAGCAACCTCAAACTCCTGGGCTCAAGGGATCCTCCTGCCTCAGCCTCCCGAGTAGCTGGGACTACAGGCATGTGCCACCATGCCCGGCTAATTTTTTCTATCTATATTAGTTGGCCAATGAATTTCTTTCTATTTATAGTAGAGACAGGGTCTCGCTCAGGATGGTTTCGAACTCCCAACCTCGAGCAATCCGCCCGCCTCGGCCTCCCAGAGTGCTAGGATTACAGGCGTGAGCCACCGCGCCCGGCCCCAGTATCCATTTAAAATGCTGTGGAACACTAATTATCTCTGTGTGAGCAGTTCAGCTCTCCAGTAAATTTTGTATTGCAGTAAAAAGTGATTTCTCATGGTTCCTGTGTGTTTTTCATCGTATTTAGTGCAATACTATAAGCCATGAATAACACCATGGGACCCATACAAAGTGTCACTAGTGATGCTGGAAGTGTTCCCAACAAGCAGAGAAAAGTCATGACATTACAAGAAAAATTGCTTGATGTGTCCTGTAGATTGAGGTCTGCAGCTGTGGTTGCCCTCCATTTCAGACAGTTGAAACAGATCCTGTAAAAAGATGTGTGAAGTTATGGACTTGATAAATACAGTGCAGTACTGTAAATGTATTTTCTCTTCCTTACAATTTTCTTAATGTTTTCTCTAGCTTACTTTATTGTAAAAATTCAGTATATAATACATATAACTTACAAAATACCTGTTAATTGATCTGTTTATGTTATTGGTAAGGCTTCTGCTAAATAATAGGCTATTTATTAGTGGTAAATTTCTAGGGAGACAAAAGTTATACATGAATTTTTGACTATGCAGGGGTTTGGCACCCCTATCCCTTGCATTTTTCAAGAGTCAACTGTACTTTCAGCACTTTAAAGATGCCATTCCGTGTCTTTTTTTTTTTAATATGCCTTATTGTGAGTTGACATTCCATTGTCTTTTGCCACCATTGTTTCTGGTGAGAAATTACCTGTCATACCATTTCATTTTTCTCCTGTATATAATGTATTTTTATTTCTCTGGTTGCCCTTTTATGTTCGCCCTTTATTTTTAATTTTCAGCAGTTTGACTATGAAGTGCTTAGGTGTATGGATTTTTTAAATGTATTTTTATGGGTTTACTGAGCTGCTTGGATCTGTAAGTTGAGATATATATATATATATGTATGTATATGTGTGTATATATATATAAATTAATTTCCAAAAGTTCTCAGTCATCTCCTGAAGTATTTCTTCTGCACCATTTCCATTCTCTCTCCTGCTTTTGGATCCCAGTTACACTTGTGTTACAATATTTGATGTTGTGTCATTGATTTTTTTGCTCCATTCTTTTTTTTCCTTTTTCTTTTCTCATTATTTTTTCTCTTTGTCATTCAGTTTGGATAGTTTCTATTGATCTGGTATTCAGGTTCACTGATTCTTTCCTCAGCTGTGTCCAGCTTACTGTTAAGTCCATCTAATGAGATCTTCATTTTTGATATATTTTTCATTTCTAATCGATCTGATTTTTTGTTTTTTTTGGAAGTTCCTGTGTCTTTGTTGCTGAAATTCCCCATCACATATGTGTGTGTGGTGTCTACTCTTTTCATTATCTCTTAGCATTTTTATCACTCTTAACTGCCTGTCTGGTAATTCCAACATGTGGGCCATTTCTAAGTCTGCTTTTTAAATTATGGGCCATGTTTTCTTGCTGCTCTGTGTGTCTAGAAATATTTATTATATGGTGGACACTTTAAGTGTAATAGAAACAGAAGTAAATAATATTTCTTTCTAAGACAGGAAATACCTTCCTTTTTCAGGTTGTTGGAGTTGGAGGACTGGGTCCATTTGATATCTAGTTGAGCTGCGTCTGGGCTTTGTAGTTCCTTTAGTTTGATTCATCTCATCTGTGGCTTCACATGTTTTGAGGACTTGGGATCTGAGCATTAATTAATGAGAATCTGGCAATCTACTTTTTGGATTTACAAATAAACTACTAGCTTTCACAACTATAGGATATTTCTTTCTGCTTTAAAGTTCTGATGCCCATTTTTAGGGTTTATGTAGAATTCTTTTTTTGTTTTCAGTTCTATGTCTGGCTCTCTGTTTCTTCAGGAAATCTCTCTCTGACCTGATATTCTTCCCCCAGCCTTTGGACAGAAGCTGTCATGTACTTTTTGAAGGCCCAGAATGTGTCCTGGGGATTTCTTTCAGGACTCCAGCCTAGTCCACAGCCTTTGGAGGGCAGCTCTTTGCAGTTGGGTGAGGCCTCTCATGCCTTGGGTGGGTCTCACTCAGCTTTCCTGTTCTGTTCTCAGCCGTTGGCATACTAGCCACATGCTGTGGGTGAATACTCAAAGGAAAAAGAGATGGTCTGAGGTGCAGACTTGCTGCGTGGCTGGGGCTTCATGATTGGAGCTCTTTGGAATTCTGATCTCTTATGCCTGCATCCATACAGCTGTCAGTAGTTCATTAAAAATTTGGCTGACTTAATCTTCCCCAACTGTTTGGGATGAAAGCAGCTTTTTACTTCCTGGTATTTAATTCTTGTAGGTTTCTTTGTGTCCTTAGCTTTCTGATGGGTTAAAAACAATACAAGTACAGTTTTGTGGCTTTTGCTAGTTTTGATTGTTAGGATGACAGCAGTGGTGTTTTGTGACTATTTTCTAAATACTATAGGAAGCTGTTATATTCTTAGTACTTTAACATTTAGACCATATCACATGGACCATGAGTGAGTATAATCCATAGTATTTTACCTAGGCATCATTTTCATAGTAAATTTAGAGACTTATTTTGAAAGATATTATCTTCATATCTCATTATTTGAAGAAATCCTATTTCTTTAGTGAATTCAATAATCAATACTGTGACTTATTGTTCTTTTAAATTGAGACTTTTCAGTGTCATATTTTTTTGATGGCTATACTAGCTCTGTCCAATGGAAATTCTGTGATGATGGAAGTGTTCTCTATGTACTTTGACTAATGTGGTAGCCAGTAGCCACAGTGGCTCTTGAACACTTCACTGAACCTAATGTCATTCAGTTTAATTTAATCATTATACATAGTTAGTGGCTGACATAATGAACAATACAGGTATACACACTATACATATGGTAAAAAATAGTAGCTTAATAATGTATACAGCAATGGCGAACAATTCACAGAATTATTGATTTTGATATTTAAGTGTACATCTATTCTTGATACCTGCTTTAGTTTAAGACTTTTTGCCTTTTTGATTGTTGAAACATTGCTTGAGTTAAAATGTACTAATCTTGGCTTTTTGTGAGGAATAGAACTTGTGAAAGTCAAACAATTTTGAATGAATTGATAATTAGCTTTGTAAACTAATATCTATGCTTTCTCAAACTTCAGCAAGCTATTTGATGATCTAGTTGTAGAAGAAGAAATCCCATTACAACAAAAATCTAGCTTTCTTTCCTAAGGTTTTAACCAGTCTGCTCTGTAGATGTTTAGGAAGTTCACATACAGACTAGCCTGAGCAAAGAGAAATGTGTTATCAGGCCAAAACGTTGTGACGATATAAGTAAAATTCAAATCTCAAAATTCCTAAATTATGCCCTCCCAACCCCAGAAGATGATATGCGTTATGAAAAGGACAGTGGACCAAAATGTCAATAGAGGGATGGGGGACGGGACACTGAGTTCTGGTTTGGTGCCACTACTGAACGAGCTAAGTTACCTTTGTGAAACTGATTAATTTGCTAATCTATAAAGCAAAGGTTAGCAAATCTATAGTTGTGTGATTTTAAGATTAGGAAGAATCTTTTGAGGTTGCCTGATTTCTCTTTTGAGATAGAATGATTACTGAAAACTTTTTACCACTTCTTATATTTATTATTATTTTTAATTTTAAAGATTCCAGTGTTGAATACCTCTTGATGAGTTACAGTGAAAATGTGATTGGTCTTGTTTTTGTTTTCCATTTTGGAATTAGTTAAATGTTGTTGGGAAAGGAAATACTTACATGCGTGCCATTTTATCTTTATTTGTAGCGGGACAAATTTGCCAGTATAAGAATTCCAGGGGGCAAGAAAGAGAGACCTCCTCTTCCCAACCTGAAGACTGCATTTGCAAGCAATGATTGCTCATCAGCATCTTTAGAGGTGATGGAAAACATTCCAAAGCCACTGTCAGAGAATGAACTCTTAGACCTTTTTGAAAAGATGATGGTAAGAATTTTGATGCTTTATAAAGTCTTTGAAGAAAAAGCCTTAGCTTTTGCTCATGTTAATGGAACACTAAGTCATGTTCCACATTCCATTGGACTTGATGTTCCAATGTCCAATGCTAAGATAGTGCTTTAGCCGTAGGGAGCTTTTGGATTACAAACATAAGAATCTGAAGAAAAACAACACACCAGTTTTTGGCATCATATAGGGTACATAAAAACAAACACTCTAAAGTATCAAATGGTATATTCTTGTGTCAAATGGATTATCTAAGTGGTCTGTCAGGGTTCAGTTGATTTTAGAAGGATGGTTAAAGTGCTCTGCTGTTTGCATTGTTGTATGCCGAATTTTGGACCTTGTTTTATTCCTTTCTTAATTCTCAGGATAACTAGGTTCCACAACATGTATATCTGTAGAGACTTGAACTCACTTGTTTTAAGATGTGCCTTTTCTGGTAGAGACACGTAGTGCCATTTGGGGACTTTTTCAGTTCTCAATTATGATGATTCTCCGACTGATTGAGCATTTGGCTTTTAAGCCAGCTGAACTAATTTGACCAATAACCCACATGTATTAAGTATATGCAAACCATTTACCACAGATTAATGCTAATTTCATCTAAATAGATTTATTTACATATATAGTTCCTACCTTTTAAGTTACTATCTCCTAGGATTCAAAACAAACAATTTGAAAAATTAAATGAGTAAGAAATGCCAGAAGGTATTAATAATTAAGTTCTAAGTTCAGGGAAGGAAAAAAAATTACTTTAATTTTTGAGATAACTAATTAGCTTCAGGGGAAACCAAAATGGACAGGATATTATAGTGGTTTAGGGAAATTTAGTAGAGGGATGAACTGGAGCCAGGTCTTATCTCATGAAAGGATTTGGATAAGCAGAAGGAAGGGCACTCTCTTGAGGAAAACACAATGGCAAAGACATGGAGGTAGGGTACACATAGCTCAAGGGGCACCAGTGAGAGGTGGGAAAAATAAGATTGGAATGATAAATTGGGGAAGATTATGAAAAGATTTTGTGTGTCATTCTGAGGAGTTGTGTATTATTTCTGAATTGTGATTTAATCTATATATGTTTATTCTTTCACCTATTGGTTTTGACAGCCTTACTAATTTTAGGGAAATTAATGCATTCACCTATTTAGAGTATAAGATGTTCATGAAATGTTAATAGTTGGTCTCTTCATTGTTTGACTGGAATGTACAATTTATTTGCCATTACATTGCTTTATTTTCTATTTATCACAATTATGTGTGTCCAGTGCTACACATGGATCTTTAGAAGACTACAGAAAGAAAGAATGCCTAGTTTGTGTCTTTATATGCTTTTTATTAAGTGTCAGTGATTTCTAACTTTTTGTCATTGAGCATACATTTTATTAGTATTTTTCTGCATGAACCTTAGGCTGGGGAAACTCTTCTATTATATCAGCTCTTGATGAAGTACTAATTTTAGTTTCAGTTAGGTACAAGTGTATAACTCTTTATTCACTTTTGGCACCATAAGTTGATATAATTTCAGCCAAGAATAACCTTTTTTGTCTGGCCTTTGCCTCTGTTAATGAGGCTTATGTGAAGGTAGTTCTTTTTAGTATTCTCCTTGAGGACTAGAGATGGCAAAGTACGCTTTCTTCCCTCTCATCCATGCGCCATATGTGGAATCATTCACCTAAATTATCTGTGTGATTCTGGGATGGTACTTTTATTCACTTGTCACTACCTTATTACAAATTTTTATTATAATTGTAGTTGTCATCTAAGTAAGCAGAATAAGTAGCCCATTGATGTTAAATATTTATGAAGGCCACATTTTATTATCATAATCAGTTAAAAGTCAACTACCTAGAAAGTACTAAGTACAGTTTATAGTATTTTTGTTACTCTTAGCCAAGAGAGGGGTAAGATTATCAATTTTAATAGTATGTACAGGGCAGATGAATATTGGCATTTTTGAAGTCTTTACAGAATACTTGTTAAATAACTGGGGGAGGGGTAGATCACTTGTTAAACCTTAAACAGGTTGTGGGCAGTAGATCTTTTGTGATCAAACTCTCACTTTACTCAGCAGAAATAAAATGAAATTGTTGCTTTCTCAGGGCTGTCCAATTTGTTAAATAATAATTTAGTCACAACTAATGTCTTTTTCAAAAATAAGGAAAAGTTTCTTTCTTTAATGATTCCTTGGGTATATCACAATACTCTATAGGAAAAACCTGCTGTTGATTCTGAAACTGAAAGGTCTTTGAAGCTGAGAAGGCTATTTTTCCTTTTTAAAATGTGGATTAGGATACTTTTCAAGCTTTTCAGGGTATCGCAGTTTTGACTGTTTTCACTGTTTCTATATCTGTGGAGGATGCTAGATTTAAATTAGGTTTGATTTTTGGCTTGCACATACTTGTAACGTTTTTTATTAATAAAAATTCTCTTGAGAAGTAACATTGAGTAATCATCCATGTTGACCTTTTGGCATTTGCAACTACAGAGGTTTTGTACCATTTAAAATTTACATCTGGATTTGTTCTTTTGGCATTGGGCAGTTTTAAAAATAATTATTCTTATTTATCATTATCAGATTGGGCGTGGTGGCTCACGCAGTGGCTCACATTGGAGTGCTAGTGCTCTAATCCTAGCACTGTGGGAGGCCGAGGCAGGCAGATTGCTCGAGGTCAGGAGTTCGAAACCAGCCTGAGCAAGAGTGGGACCCCCTCTCTACTATTAACAGAAAGAAATTAATTGGCCAACTAATATATATAGAAAAAATTATCCGGGCATGGTGTCGCATGCATGTAGTCCCAGCTACTCGTGAGGCTGAGGCAGGAGGATTGCTTGAGCCACTCTAGCCTGGGCAACAAAGTGAGAGTCTGTCTCAAAAAAAAAAATAAAATAAAAAAGTATTTAATAATTTTTACATGAAGTAAAAATTTTGTTTTGAAGAACACCTCTTTTTCCTCCTAAAGATAGTCCTTTGAAAGACTGTGCTGATTGGATTACTTAGTGAATGTGAAGTAGAGTGTAAAACTTCAACATTTGTACTCATTTTACTTAGTAAATTGATTTGCTTGGCTCTGGGTAATCTAGTTTCCATGTGCTTTCATAAAGTAGTGATGAATTTTTTGTTCTAATTCTTAAGGGCTTGTCTCTCCCCCACCCCTCTCCCTCCTGTATATTTGTCTTTCTGTGAAAGTTGAATTTCTAGCTGAAAGCTAATCTTGGTTTCTGTATGGTTATTAGATAGTGAAACAGTTGTGTTCATCACTGTATATACAGCTTTGATTTCTGAAGTTTATTTTGGTGATTATTGTTGAACTCTTTGTGGATATCTCTGAGTAGTTTTTTTGAATAAGGTGAACATGATAAATATAAGCTGAAAGTGACTTGTTTATTCCAGCTGTTGCCTCTTTAACCCATCCCTCTCAGCTTATTTTGTTGTAACTCTGGCAAAAATCTCAGGCAAGAGCCAAAGTTTTCCTGTTGGTTTCAGATAACAGTAACCTTAGCTTCATATAAATAACTTAATTTCCATCCAAAGAAAGCTGCTCCTTTTGTCCCTTTCAAGCTTGTTCCATTTCTAAGAACCTCTACTAGAGGTGGTTGTTGGGGTGTGGTTGGCCTCTTCTGGTTCCCCACCTTGCTTTTCTGTTCTTCCCTAATCTCTAGTCCAACTCTGTCTCCTCTGGGATTAGATTGGAGGTGGGGGAGGAGGAACAAGCACTTGCTGGTTTAGGGTATCTATAACCTGTCATTGGTGCCTAGGGTATTATATTAATTTCTTGTTGATACTGTAAAAAATTACCATGGATTTAGTGGTTTTAAACAACACAGATTTATTATAGTTCTGTAAGTCAGAAATCTGGGTTGGCCTGACTCCTTCTGTAGTTTTCACGGAGCTAAAATCAGTCTTAGCTGGCTGGGCTCTTATCTGAGGCTTTGGGAAGAATCTTCTTCCAACTTCATTCAGGTTGTTAGCAGAATCCAGAAGCCAGTCCTCAGTAGGACTGAAATTCCTGTTTTTTTTTGCTGGCTACCAGCCACCCTTAGTTTCTAGAGGCCTTTCTCCTATCCTTCATGTGTGCCCCTTCATCTTCCATGAATTGAATCCATCTCTTGCTTAGAATTTCTCCAAATTCTGCTTCTGCTGTATCACTCTTCTGCCCACTTCAGAGAAAGTTTTCTGCTTTTAAGGGCCTGTGATTAGGTTGGATTTACCCAGATAATTCAAGATAATTTCCCTATTTTAAGGTTTGTCACTTTAATTATATCTACAAAGTCCCTTTTGCAATGTGTTATAAATATTTTACAGGATCCAGGGATTAGGGTGGTGGACATCTTTGGGAGAGCCAGTCTGCTTACCAAAGATGTGGAAGATTACAAATGCTGATTCTTTGCTTTTGTGGTATTTTTATATCCCTTACCTTTCTCCCAATCTCACCTATAATACTCATGTCTGGTGACTTCTCCTTTGGCCATCTGCCCCTGTCTTCTATGAGTCAATTCTTTTGCTGGGATCACCTTTTGGCTGCAGTACCTCTTAGACAGCTCAGACCTGCATCTTCCTTGGGGTCCATATCCTGTGTATGGGAAGCTAATGTATCCTTTATCTTGTTCCCTCCAGAGCCTGCCTTCTATTAATACAAAGATTATATTACATCTGGATATTTCTACCCATAGCTTTTAATTTTTGCTATTGTTTGTTTCAGATTCTTACCCTTCTGTTTGCAGCATGTGACACCGCTGTTTTCTCTTATTGGCATTTCTCTTTTTGCTTTGGATACTGTGGCACTTCCTTTCCCTTTCCTGATTTTCTTCATCCCTGGCCAGTTTCTACTTTACTTTCCATGTCTCCTCTTCTGTGTATACTTTTATTTCCTCTGAGTGTTGCCTCCATGGCTCTTGTCTTCATACACTTTGGTTTTCTACACATTCCTCCTGGGGGATTGGAAACTTTCCGTGTTGTAGAGTATCCTCTATATTCTGACAGCTTT